TATAGATCTATTTCAAGCTCTCATCAGCCAGGCGTGCCCTTCTGGGATTCAAACCAGGGCTACCTACGTATTAGGTATATGTATTAACCTCCACCTAATTCAGGTAAATCCAACGCAAAAATTGGGGATTGGGGTTGAAAGTCGAATGCGGAGGCAGTTGCCCCGTCCCATATTTGGGTAGACCATGTTGCCTTGATAGACTGGCCTCACTAGAAAAAACATCACCCCTGGTATACGCAACCAAGCGAGGAGAGCCCGTGGCTTAGAGGTTAATACATCCACCTAATATGTAAGTAGACCAGGTTTGAATCCCAGAAGGGCACGCCTGGCTGATGAGAGCTTGAAATAGATCTATATTACTCTCCCTTTATTTCTTTGGTGGTAAATATAAATCCAAATACCCCTCTGGGCTTATTCATCAACTCTTATCTACTACTCTACTGGAACATCTTATTATCACAATCAAGATAGTTCTTTCTGCTAATGACGTCCGATTGCTCACTGCTTCTGAATCTTGCCTGTGCGTGACCTCCATCCTTGCCAAGGGATGAGAGAATGGGAACCAAGCAGTTCTCCTCTGTTGTCTTCTATGCGGATTGGGTTTCTTCTTCCAGTCTGCATCCATGCAGGGATTACATCAGCACACCTGGCCCTGAACTGGGGCAGCCTCACATCCCTTGTAGGGCGGGATGGACATGGCTCATGGCCAAAAAAGTCTCCATGTAAGGACCACTTGGTCATGGCTAGATAAGCAATGTATCACCATTCTCAATGGTGAGAATTGGTGGAAAAGAGATGACCTATCTACCAATTTAAAAACCAGCAGAAGGCTGGGGATGAAACCCTCCAGGTAACCAGGTGGGATTTTGCTGCCCAGCTGATGGCAGGAGAACTGCTGAGAAGATATTGGCCCAAGGAGAAGCCTGTAGAATCCCTGCACTAAGAAGGGGTCTATCTGGGTGCCTGGACCTCCTCCTGCCAGTTGCATTTCCTAATCGGGCAGCCTTCAAGAGACAACAAGGATGGACCCAGCGCTGCCTCCCATCACACCTGCCTCCCTGATTTGTTCTTCCTGTAGGTGAAGCACAGGATGGGCGGGGAAGGTCAGCCTCCGCTTATCAGTCCTGGACCATCTATTTTACCATGGATCAGCCACTGGGCTCTTCACAGCCTCCACGGGCAGCTGGGCAGAGGAGGAGGAGGAGGAGGAGAACCTGTCCCAGGCAAGGCACAATGGTATCCTACGGGAAGCGCCTGGCCTGCCTTCTTGTTGCAGGCATCCTCTGCCCAGCCGTCCTCCTGCTCTCGGCCCTCATCCAGTACCGAGGAACTGTGTATCCCCCTGGGATTGATCAACCCCTGAAGGCCCGCATTTGCCAGACGATGCTCATCACAGTGTTAATTTTGGTAAGCTTTTCTTTCATTCCTTTTTTCATGAACTAGACAGAAGAATTGAATTGATGTATTCTTTTCTTATGAGAGTAGGATTGGCTCGAATTCATGAACATCCACATCAATGGAACAGAAACAGTTTCTTGAAGCTGTGAAACTGACTGGTTCTCCCGTCTGTCCAGATTTGGAAGGAGGGGGGCTTCCCTCTGTAAAAGGCAGTATTCCCCCACTGAAGTCCTCCAGCTGCTCAAGATGGAGGTCCCATGGCTCCCAGCCAGCTCTCTTCAGTATGATAGGGCACCTATAGTTTATGGAGGTACTCCACTCTGCAAGGTTTAATCCCCTGCCAAATCTATTCTGCCATAGCTGTGACCTTCTACACTCACTCTAGTTTGGGGCCTTCAGGTATGTGTTGAAGGGAGAGAAACAGGATGCATCACAACACTGAAATGCAAACTCTGCCTGACATCCAAATACAAAAGGCACAGAGCCCGAGGGGGGGGGGGGGCATACCTCGAGGCCCATTGTTTCATTCCACAGGACCCTCTACCTGCTGTGGGTACCAGGCGGGTGTAGGAATTCCAACTCTCTGCGGGAAAAGATTAAGGCGGCCTCCCAAAATTAAATTCTCCTCTTCTGTGCTTTGCCAACAGGGAATTGTTTTAGAGGAGCTGGGTTTGTGCAGCCTCTGCGATGTGTTATGGCTTTGGGCGAACGGAGTACCTCCGCGCAGGGATCCATCCCTTGTCATTCAGAACCAGGAATTTGACGGGGTGCCAGTGAGGATCTACTCGTCCAGAACGGTGCCAACCACGAAAAGAAAAGCCGTGCTTTACTTCCATGGAGGGGCAGGTATTTTCGGAAGCATCGGTAAGGCCACAGAGACTATTCCAAGCTCACCTCGGGCAGCTAAGCCAAGGTGGTTAGGCAAAGCCAGGGCAATAATAATAGCCGGAACCCTAAAAACCTCCCACGTAATGGCGAAACCCTTTCAGGGCGGTTGGATACCAAAACACAACATGGAGATATTCATGGAGTCGCCTGGCGTTCCACCTCATTCAATGTTTCTCCCTCTCCGTGTTTTTCTCGCTTCCGTTCTCCCTCTGTCACACACAGACACACAGAAAGGGAGAGTAACGGATACAGCTATCCACACTAAACCTAGAGCTCTCTGGTGCTCCTACTTCCTAAGTGCAATGCGAAGGCCCTTCAACCAGTCCTCCATGCAAGATTCAATAGCAATAGCAGTTAGACTTATCTACCGCTTCATAGGC